CTCTAAACCGTGGCTCTTAATAACTGCTGAAATAGCTAAAATATCGACCAACAGCGGCCTGGGAAGGTCCAAAAGACCCTAACCCTCCCTAAACCCTAAACCCTAAACCCTAAACCAAGAAGGACCCTAAACCCTAAACCCTGAACCCCCACGTCTCCCTATATAAGAGAACCTCCGGGCTTCATAGAGCCTTAACGCTACCACCACAACCGCACGGCACTTAAAGCCAGAAGCCCTAGGGTTTAGGGTTTAGGGTTTAGGGTTTAGGGTTTAGGGGTTTAGGATGAATACTGATACTGATTAGAACTCCCCCCCATTGAAGCCCTAAGCCCCAGACTCCTAAACCATGAACCCCAAGCCCTAATCGCCAAAGAAAAACCCTAAACCCTAAACCCTGAACCAGCCAGGATTCGATGCTATAGGACGTGCCAGGGGTAGCTGCACGGCACCCCCAGCCCTCGCCGATGCCGTTCGCCACCTCATGTGCTTGGAGTTTGATGATCACCAATCACCAACTCGGCCGTAGTGAATATAGGGGTCTTCGGAGTTGTTCGATTAGGGTTTTGGGGTATAAATTGTTTGTAGTAAGATGGTTGTGATAAGGAATCCCAAAATAGTATTGGTAATTGTTTAGGCCTCAATAGTAGCAGCTCAATTTGCAGGCAAGAAATGTACGCGAATCCTGCCAGTCCTGCCCCTGAAGGCGAGGGCGCAGATGGCCATATGTTCCAAAGGGGTCGCCAACAGCTGTAAAGCAGATAACGCATACTGTAGGGGCCTTAAGAATTGGGGCCCATTATACTATAGTTCTAAGAAGGAATCCCCAAAAGAATATAGGCAACTATCTAGGCCCCTATATTAGTGTGCTTAGAACCCTTAGAGGAACCCTATTATAGAACCCTACAGAACCCTTAAAGGAACCCTATTCTAGAGCCTGACAGTACCCTTAAAGGGAACCTGATTCTAGAACCCTAGAGATTTGGAGGTTTGGGGTCCAGGAACCTGAGGCGCTCCTATGTATTCCGTTTAGGGTCAACCTACACCCTATCTGGGCGCATGAACCTGTAGAGACTACTATCCGAAATAAAAAACATATATATATATATATAATATGTATAATCCACAAACAACGTCCCACGACCGTGTGGAACGGCTCTACAACCCTCAACCCACCTCCAGGGTCCATTTACCCATATAGCACCTATAACTTCCATTGTGGTGTCCTTTTTAGGGTACCTTGCGACCCTAGACATAAACATTGTGAAAGCACAAAGCCCTCATCAAGCTTTATCGCTCTGCGCCGCCCTGGGCCAGAGACCCTCAAAACGACTTGCTCCCAGGAACACTGGCACCGCCGTAGACGATAGCGTCAGCTAGCAGCAGGCTCCCAGCACCTGGCACGATGCTTAGGAGCTCTTTAGGTGGGCCATGTTTACGGTATCCCAGGGGTTTAAAAACGGTTTAAAGGTTTTTGAATGAGGGTTTAAGGGTTTGGGATTTGGGGTTCTAGGCATGTAGAAGCAATATTCTGGCATATCTTTGCGAACAAATGATGCTTGAGAGCATGGTGGGCTATGTCCTCTACCCAGAAGCCAGTTCTTTACATAGGAGTTGAACTTTAAATGCTTCTTGGCTTCATTAGGCCATGATGCCTTAACCCGGAAAACCTGAACCCCAACCCTACACCCTAAACCCTAAACCCCAAACCCTAAACCCTAAACCCCAAACCCTAAGCCAACACCGCCCCAAATTCTCCCACACCCGCGGCATACTCAGAATGTCGGACGAGAGTTTGGAGGATGGGGGTGCAGGTGTTTGGTTCAAACACGGGTTGGGTTTAGGGTTCAGGGGTTTAGGGGTTTGGGGTTTAAGGTTTAGGGCTAGGGGCTTGGGGTCTGGGAGTCGTAAGGGGTTTTTGGGGCAGTCCAAATCCCTGAACTTCGAATCTGGGTTGTGGTTTAAAGGCTCTCCCAACAGGGCTTATAGTATCAGTTTAGACTTAATTATCTTACTCTGGAACTCAGAACTTGCTGTTACTGGTGTTGTTGCTGCTGCTGCTGCTGTGATATTGCTACCGTTGCTGTTGCTGTTGTTGCTGTTGTTCTTGCTGCTGCTGCTGCCGCGGCTGCTGCTGCTGCTGCTGCTGCTGTTGCTGCTGGTGTTGAAGTTGTTGTTATCGATGACAATGGTGGTGGTGGTGGTGGTGGTGGTGGTGGTGGTGGTGGTGGTGGTGGTGGTGGTGGTGGTGGTGGTGGTGGTGGTGGTGGTGGTGGCGGTGGCGGTGGCGGTGGTGGCGGTGACAATATCGATGATGATGATGATGATGATGATGACGATGATGATGATGTTGCTATGGTAGATGTGGTTGGTGCTGCTGTTGTTGCCGTCGTTGTTGTGGCTGTTGTTGTCGTTGCTGCTGTTGTTGCTGTCGTTGTTAGTGGCGGTGTTGCTGCTGCTGTTGATGTTGTCGTTGTTGTTGCTGCTGTCAATATGCCAAGAAGCAAGCCCTAAATGCACAAGCCCTCACTCAGGCGGCAGCCGAAATTGCCAAAGGCGTGCCAGTCGAAGAGCAAGAACACCTCACTGAGGCGATAGCGAGGGTTATTCGGTTGCGGGTTAAACCCAGAGAGCCCAATACCCCTTAATTAAGGAATATACCTTGAAGCATAATATATAAGGCCCCTATAGTTTAGGGTATATTCCTTATTTAAGGGGTATTGGGTTCTCTGGGAAGTTAAGCTATCAGAGTTTCGGGTTTTGGGCTCAGGGATTTAGGCTTCGGCGTCAGGGCTCAACCCTGAGCATACACCCTCCGTAAGTACTCCCTGTCTTAAGCCCCAGACCCTAAACTTTACTAGGGGTTGACGGTTACGCCCTAAACCCGGAACCCTCAACCAGCAGGTGAGGAAACCAATGAAAATCCTAATTTAGGGTTTAGGCCAAAGTTTTGGGTTTAGGGTTGGTACCAATAGAGAGGGTTGGGCAATAGTAAGACCTAGTTGCACGTCCCGTATTCCCAGACAAAGACTTGTAGTATGATCTACGCACAACCCGGTTCCAAGCACTCAAACTCGGACCTTGACATGAATAATTCGCCCAGGGTTGTGAAAATGTCTATGCCCAGGCCTGTAGCTCTCTCAGGGGAACCCAAAAAACTACTAGTTCTCTTTTTTCCGAACCACTAAAACAAGCTGTGCTCCGAGAGCTGTTGCATCGATTCGTAGGTCGTAACCTCGTTTCCCTTCGAGCGGTCTCCGAAGTGCCAAGCACCGAGCACTCGAACTCCCCAGCCCCTCAGCCATAAATCCTCAGAACAAACCCTAAACCCGAGGCCCTAAAGACAAACCCTGTGGTTCATGCTGGTCGCCTAAAACCGCTTCGAACTTGCCTGGAACCTGTTGCATGTAGGCCAAACAGAAAAGGACTGAACACTCCATCGAAGCTTGTCTTCCTCAGAACCCTCAACACTAAATCCTTACTTCACAGAATTTTGGCCAAGCGACGCCGCAAAGGCCTCGGTTCTTGTAGGGCTTTTGGGTTTCGGGCCTAGTGCGGGACGGCGAAGGCCAGAAGCCCTAAAGCCCAGCCGTAAATCCTTTAACAGAGCCCTTAGGGTACTCATTAAACGTCCTTCATGGTGGGTATTTAGGCTATACTCGCCTTGGCCCCACAGAGGTTCCAGTCGGATTCCCTCTATTCCCCACCTCTTAATCCCCTCCCCGCGGCCCCAAAACTGCACGGAGGGGAGGGGGGGGTTCGTCTGTATGAACCCATTTCTGAGCCCCAAGCTCCTGCGGTGACCCTGTGTACCCCCTGTTCGGCTTTCCCCCTCGCTTCCCCTGGCCTCGACAGCATGTTTCTTCAGGTTCGGGGAGGCTTCGGATGAGGGCTGAAGCTGCATGCACTCGCAAATTAATATACTATCAGAATACCACGAAACCAAGTCAAGCTCAGGTTGCCGCGACTTGTATACTTCAGCCAAAGGGCTCCAAGTACACAGGAGTACAAAAGCACAAACCTGGCATCATATCTTCCTACCAACATACGGCCGGGCCGAGGCGGACGACGCGAAGCGTTTAAAATTGAGGCAGGTATATTCCCTAAGGCTCCATGTACCCATATAGTAGATACTTAGGCCTTAAAGTACCTATATAGGGACCCCTTTAAGGCTTAAGTATCTACTATAAAGGTACATGGAGCCTTTGGGATTAAACCCTCATGGCCTGTTCGCTGTGGGCGGCAATCGCAAAGCCTCACGCAGCTGGCGCCTGGCAACGGAGCCCTTCCTCACGAAAACCCTATTCTATTTAGGGTTTAGGGTTTGGGGTTTAGGGCATATTCTATTTATTAAGGCCCCTATATTGGGAGCTTGGAGGCATAGGGCTTTCAAGATTTGAGGGTTAGGGTTCAGGGTTCCCTTGTCTGTCAATGTAAGCATCCAAAGGTCCTAAACCGCATTTCCCTAGGCTTGGGCTGAAATCATGCTATCATCGAAGCAAACCCTAAACCACCCTGAAATCGCCTGGGCCTGAAACCCCGACCCGACCCATTAAACCCTGAAAACAGAACGTAAGCGCCTTAATAACTGGAATTGGGTTTTGGGGTATAACATACTATATTGGTAATAAGGAAACCCCAAAATAGTATAGGTAACTATTAAGGCCCCTATAATACCCTGAAGCCTGCACAAACCCAGGTCGGGAGCACTCTGATCCACCAGCGCGGTCATTTACCTGTGCCGTCAGGGCTCCCGGGTTTAGCCAGAGCTCCCCCGCAGGTTCAGGGCTTAGGGTTTTCGCAAAGTTCAAAGCCCTTCCAGAAGTCCATATAAACACAACCCAAAACCCTAAACCCCAAACCTACACCCTAAACCCTAAACTTTAAACTCTAAGCCCTAAACCCTAAACTCTAAACTCTGAACCCTAAACCCTAAACTCTAAACTCTAAGCCCTAAACCCTGAACTCTAAACCCTTTTTGAGTCTCTTGAGCAGTGACTCAGGCGAAGCACCTGTCCATGCAAGAGTTCCTGGGCTTTGGAGTACCATACTTTAATACTTGTTTTGGGGACCTGTTCCTTAAAGGAACCATTATGAAATAAAAGTCTATACTTTTTTCTCCCTGGTTACTCCAAAGCCCAGGTTCAAGTCTCGGCCACTGTTCATCTGGTATGACTACTTCTCTTGTCCACAGCTGGAGCATCGGGAAAACAGGAGTGCTGAAGGTACTGATCTTGCCAAGGCGATTAGCAGCATTCCGGCCTACATTGCCCAATGTTCGTTTGTCTTCGGTCTTTGCCCTGTCTTAACCTGCCAAAACGAGAGTGGGTTGCTGTCACAAGCGACCTGGAGTCGGCGTGGCTGGTGCCGCCTTGAGCGAGCTCTGCGAGAGTTTTCCCTGGATGATAAATGGGTGACTGGGCTTTGGAGTACCATACTTTAATACTTTTTTGGGGGGGACCTGTTCCTTAAAGGAACCAATATGAAATAAAAGTCTATACTTTTTTTCCCTGGTTACTTCAAAGCCCAGGTGATGGTCAAAAGCGCAAGGTCCATGGAGTTTGTCGGGTCGGCTCTGCAATTTGTGAGCGGCTCCGTAGGTGAAGGAGAGTTCACGAAGGAGGAGGACCGAAAAAAGCTGGCTTCTGTCCTGCGCCAGGCAGTGCTCAGGAAGATGATGTTCTGCTTGAAAGCTCAAGACCTTCCCGGGTACCGTCGGCATCTGAATCTTCAGAGCACCTACTTCCGAGGCCTGAGAATTGAACCCGTGCGCGATATTGTTCCCGGCTATGAGGCCGCGAAAGAGACCGATTCTGTGGCCGAGTTCTTCTATCAAAACGGCTTTGTAAGTGTCCGTGACATAGACAAAGCGGGCTGGTCCCCCCTGCACTATGCGGCCATGAATGGAGATCCAGCGTTGATTGACGGATTGTTGCGGCAGCATGCGGATCCGAACAAGCGCACAGCCCGGGAGCAGCCGAAATTGGGATGTCCACCATGGATGTCTGCTCTCGACCTCACCATGCAGTTCAAGCAAAACGATGCAGCACGCTTGCTCATTGCTGCCCGTGCGAAGCTTGATGGACCGATCTGTGGACCCCAGAATTATGCGGGCGTCTCAGACAACGCCGAAGGTATGCGTCTCCTCTGTGCAGCCGGCATGGACCCCCATGCACTCGACTTTCTCAACGCCCCGGCTATCCAAGCTTGCTCTGCTTATGGATCTTTGGCAGCTGCAATGAGTACACTTTTTGAGGTTTAGGGTTTAGGGGATAGTACTAAATCTTCTGGAACCGAAAGTTTGCACTTTGGGGGGCTTTTGATCTCAGCCACTAAGGATCCATTGCTGCCATGGGGGAAGTCGTGATGCACTCACCTCATGATACTGTTCGCGTCTCCAGGGCGCTGGTGATTGCAATGGCCGGGGGTGTTGCTAAACTCTAAATCCTGAAAGCCTAAAACCCTAAACCCTAAACCTTAAACCCTAAACCCTCTAAGCCTTCAAGCCCTGTAACCTGAAACCCCGCCAGGATTCGGGTTTTATTATGGCACCTGAAACTCAGACCTTAAAGCCCTAAACCTGAACCCTAAACTCTGAACCCAAGCCCTTGTGGCCTTGTGTAAGCTCTACCGTAACCCCGAATAACCTACTTTTTAAAGACGTATGTAAAGAAATCATAATAAGGAACCCTAAAAAAGTAGGTTCTTTAGGGTCCAGGTACACGCTAAACCCCTAAACGCCTAAACCCTAAACCCCTAAACCCTAAATCCTCAAGACGCCTGTAAACCTAAACCCTTAAATCCTAAATCCCCTAAACCCCTAAACCCCTAAACCCCTAAACCGCTAAACCCCTAAATCCCTAACCCCTAACCCCTAAACCCCTAAACCACTAAACCCCTAAACCCCTAAACCCCTAAACCCCTAAACCCTAAACCACCAAACCCCCGAACCCCCAAACCCTAAACCCCCAAACCCTAAACCCCTGAACCCCTGAACCCAATCCCTAAACACCTGAACCCCCAAAACCCCTACACCCCTAAATCCCCTAAACCCCTAAACCCCTAAACCCTAAACCCATAAATCCCCAAAACCCCTAAACCCTAAACCGCTAAACCCCTAAACCCTAAATCCCCAAAACCCCTAAACCCCTACACCCTAAACCCTAAACCCCTACACCCCTAACCCCTAAACAAGTTTCTACACCCCCCATGCCCTAGAGGCCGGGGGCGGTGGCACGGCCGAGATGGTGGTCCGACTTCTTGAGCTCCGGGCGGACGTGAACCATCAGTACCAAGGACACCCTTTTGTTTAGGCGTTTAGGGTTTAGGCGTTTAGGGTTAAGGGTTTAGGGTTTAGGTTTTTAGCGATTAGGATTTAGGGCTTCGCAAGCCTCTAATTTACTAAAGGTAGGACGAAGCTAGGTGGAGTAATCCCAAATAAGATGGTGATATTTAAGAGTAGTTCCCTAGAGTAGGGTCCCTTTCTAAGCCCCCAATATATAGTACGGCACCCTTATAAAAAGGGCCCCCCAAAGGGACCCTAATTTCGACAACTACCCGTTGGGGATCCTGAATCCTACCCTAAAACCTAAACCCTTACCTTCATCCCACCTTTTGAGGCCTCCAGCCCTTCGCAAAGAATCTGCAATTGTTAGAGTCTCCTTTTGTGAAAAGTTTAGGGTTTCGGGTTTCAATTTCCTTGGTTCCCCCTCTAGGGTTCAGGGTTTCTGTTTTAAGGGTTCCTCTAATTTAAAGGACCCCTAAACCCTAAACCGTAAACTTCCTTCGGGTTTAGGCTCCTCTAAGGTTTAGGTCGGTTCAAGGTGAGTTTTGGGCTTTAGGGTTTCGGGTTGGAATAGGGTTTAGGGTTTGTCTCCTTGTTAAAGGGTTCCTTCGTTTAGGGCTTCAGGTGGGCTTCAGGGGGTTCGATCTTAGAGGTTCTGTAAAGGGTCCTGCAAGCCGTACTCTATAGGGCATTATGGGTAATATAGGGGCATGAATAATTACCTATACTTTTTTCGGCTATTCCTTATTCAAGTCATAGTATAATGGACTTCAAAACCTTAGTCTAATTATTAAGGCCGCTACATCATGGATTCAGGGTCGCGTGTAGGGTTCAGTAGAGAACTGCATCACGGTCCCTACAGGTGCCTTAGGGATGTTTTCAGTTTTGTTAGAACATGAACCCAACAGTGTTTTTTGTAAGTTGGTGCTTGTACAAGAGCTAGTACGAACTATAAGCCCAAGGGATTGTTAAACTATGTAGGCCGATGGCGCATTTTATTTTTCCTTTATTGGGCTTAAGAGGCTACTATTCACGAGTATTTTTGCAGAGGCTTTAAAGGGTCAGCCTAGTAAAGGCTTTACTGTGGGGTCAAAGTTTGGGAGGTCCCAATCTCGGATCTCCCCAAGGGCTGCTTGCTGCAGCAAAGTCCTTGCAGTATCTGGGCCGCAGTTGAAGGATGTGTCGGTGATTTTTCGACATTTCGTAGAGAGAAACAGGCACGGCGTGAGTTTTTCGCTTGGCTTGCAAGAAGAGCCCAGGTATCGATGTGGCAGTACCACGGCTTTGTCCTCCCTATTCTATCACCTTCCTGGGATGACGCCACTTATGGCAGCCTTGCTGACGGCTCAGTACGAGGCTGCTGCCGCATTGATTGATTCTGGAGCCCGGCTCGACCTCAAAAACTGTCGGAATTGGACAGCGGCAGACTTTGCAACTTGGTAGTGCAGCATAAGACTGACTGTTAGCCTAACTATAGAATCTCAAACGTCACTTCTATCGTATTCCTAAAACACTGAACAAGTAAGGCAAAAGGCCAATCCCTGCCAGACTTTCTGGTCTTGGGCTTGGAGGGAGACCCGCTGGAATGTCGAAGGGTCACGTCGCTCGCTCTGGCAGCAGTATACCTCGAGATATAGCTGCCCTTGTGAGTTTTTCCCCAACGAGGGCTAACAGGCTCCTTCCTCCGAGTTTCCGAAGTATCCGTATTATTTTCCAATTCTTGCATGGAATCCGCAATCATTTCCGCCGTACATGCACCTAAGAGGTGTTCCCTGCAAATGGGTAGTTCTCTGAAATAGGGTCCCGTTTAGGTCCCCCAATATAGTACGGCACCCTTATAAAAAGGATCCTAAAAGGGACCCTAACTTAGAGAACTCCCCACATACTGTTTCAAGCAGTGAGACGATATTAAATGCTGCAGGTTCTCAATCACGGACACTTTCAGGTGGGTAGTTACCCTTATAGGAGCCTTATAGAAGGTCTATACACTTTTTAGAAGCCGTATAGAAGCTTTATATACCCTAAACTCCCCACCTAAACCCAAACCCTAAACCCTAAACCCTAAACCCAATATACCCTAAACTCCCCACCTGTAGTTTCCTTTAACTCAAGTCCCGCAGTGGCCGGCCCGCTTCTGAAACCAGAAGCCGGGATGCAAACCAGTTGCTGTCGACGAAACAGGCTCTAGCCTGGCATTCTTCAGTGGGTTTCGGGTTTTAGGGTTTAGGGTTTAGGGTTTAGAGTTTTAGGGTTTAGGGTTTTAGGGTTTAGGGTTTTAGGGTTTAGGGTTTTAGGGTTTAGGGTTTAGGGCTGCAGGGTGCCAGGATTCGGGGTTGGGGCTTTCACGGTTTAGGGTTTTGGGTTTTAGGGTGTAGCGTTAAGGGTTTAGGATTTAGGGTTTCAGGGTGTAGTTCACTTGTAAACCTGAACAACCGGGCTTAAACCCTAAATTTAATTTTCCTAACCTTAAAGCTAGGGGTCTAGGGTTTAGGGGGCTCCAGGTAACAATGTAGGAACCTGATTAGGAAACCTTGGGTCGTCAGTAGGGTTCTTGATATGAGCCCTAATAGACCGTAAGCCCTAAACCAACAGCGCTAACACGGCTGATGATAGAAATCCTGCGTTGCCCCATAATAAGGAACATACCAGAATTCTCATAGTTTCGGGTCCTTAAGGTAATGCAGGAGTTTTACCATCAACCCTAAACCCAACCCCCTAAACCCTAAACCCTAAACCCTGAACCCTAAATACAAAACCCTAAACCCTAAAAGCCTAAACCCTAAACCCTAAAACCCTAAACCTTAAACCCCGAAACCCCAAACCCTAAATATGTATATCATCAACCGTATCTTTGGCGTTGTAGGACCAGAGTTTCTTAATCAGGTTCCTACATGGACCAGACGAGCTTGAAAAGTCTCTAGACTTTCAGTTCTGGGTTGCTCTTTAATACCTTGCTAAAATTATAACTTTTAGTACCCCTAATATCAAACAGGCTAATCCTAAAAGTCATAAAGCTATAGAGTGACTGTAAAGTTCAACCAAGAATTTCATATAGGGGCCTTCATAGTTAGAATGGGGTTTGGGGGGTATATTATGCTGTAGTTATAATGAGGAGCCCCCAACATACTGTAGGAATATATTAGGGGGGTTCCTAAAGAACAACATTACTGCTAGTTCCTAGAGCAACCAATTGTACCTCAAATAAATGGGTATGACAGCACAAAAACCATTACGGTTCCCTTTGTTTAAAGGTACTTTGGTTACTCCAGGTTTAGACCCTTGCATTCGAACAAGGCCTTTAGTTAATTAGGGCCAATGTCAATCATGCCTACACCCTGAAACCCCAAACCCTAAACACTAAAACCCTAAAAACCCTAAACCCCAAACCCTAAACACTAAACCCTAAAAACACTAAACCCTAAACTCTAAACCCTAAACCCTAAACCCCCTAAACCCTAAACACTAAAACTCTAAAATTCTACATGTCGCCAAAAAAGCCCACGCCACTTCGGAAGTCGGGGCCATCGTGCGTGGCCCCGGGAAAGCTGCGCTATGATCCGAGCTGTGGTTCATTGGCCACAAGGCAGGCTTTAGGGTTTAGGGTTCCGGGTTTAGGGTTTAGGGTTTAGGGTTTAGGGTTTAAGGGTTTAAAGTTTAGGGTTTAGGGTTTAGAGTTTAGGGTTTAGGGTTTAGGGAGGTTTCACCAATTTGCCGGGCTCTCCACAAGGCTTTCGGGGTGCTGATAATTTGGTTTAATGATACCTTGCTTAATGCATTGTTTAGATGGCCTGCGGCGCAGGTGTATAGATGTGTTGTGTCAAGAAAGTAGGGTCGCGGAAGCTGTTGGCTAGTTGATGATACAAAGCTGCTTACTTGGAGCGTCGGGGGACCTAGTAAATGGTTATTTTATATAGACTTATAAGAACTATAACCCCAATTAGAGTCCCTTTTAGGGTACTTATAAGTCTACTTATTACCTACTTACTAAGTCTCCCGACCCTCCAAGTATTGGGTTTTAAGAGGTATTGGTTAAGGGCGTTTGGGCTTTGTAGGGCAGGGCTAGGAGGGGCCTAGACTGTCCAATGCTTAGGTACTCGAGTGTAGCTTAACTGGAGAAAGCACGCTTTTGGTCAAGCACCCTACACCCTAAACCCTAAATAATGAACTCTTGCATCTGTAAAGAGCTTCTCAAACCCTTCTAGGCCTTAGGGTTTAGGGTTTAGGGGTTGGGGTTTAGGGTTTAGGGTTTAGGGTTTAGGGTTTAGGGTTTAGGGTTTAGGGTTTAGGGTTTAGGGTTTAGGGTTTGAGGTGTTGACTCTACTCATCTTTGCTTTATCATCTTTACTGCAACTAGAGTTGTGGGTTTTAGGGTATGCCTGAAGCAAAACGGAACCACAGTTCGAATGACGCCATTAGAAATGCGAAAGGCCGCTTCGGGCGTTTTCACGATCCCAGTATCTGAGTGACTCAAAGACTCGAGTTTGCGAGCAGCACGTTAAAGCACATCGGAATCACACAGCTCCACGACGAAAACCACGAACACTTCAGACGCAAACGAACACCCATCCAAAGACAGGTGATTTGGGACGCTGGGTGGCCTTTCCCTACAGCTACATCTGGACTGCCATGTGAGGACTGCTCTACCTTCGACTCCCCTACCCTAAACCCTACACCCGACACTCTGACTGATACCAAGGACCAAGGAGTAATGAGTGCGTACCTTTGGAAGCACCGTTGCGACGGACCCAAAATACCGCAAACACCAAAATGCGAACACCGTTATGACAGCCTCCATAAATAGCCAATGACAATGACCCGACTTTTGAACCGCGTAAAACCCCCTCGCAAGACCCTTCAAGAACCCATTCTAAACCTAGTACACCATGCAGTCTGAAAAAATACCTAGAAGGCAAGTGCATCGAATCCTAGTAACAACTACTATCATCCCTATCACACCCTAAACCGCCGTAGAGGGACTCGAATTTAGAACAGCCTCCCTGTGAAACCTTCATGCCGGTGCCGATCAGCCCACGGAGTACACCCCCGCCCTGCTAAGTCTCTAGGGGGTTTAGGGTTTAGGG